CCAAACTTGATATCAGGAGTATGGTTGACGTAGATGAAATGCCAGATCTCTTCCGCTCAATAGACCGTAAGTAAAAGAAACCCTCACACACTTCAAAAATTTTAAGAACATACTTACCCCATCGATTAACATCACTACAGTTATTTGTTAATTTTTGTGGTGCTCTAAAACACTTAACATGCCTTTGATGTTTTGTCTATATTACCTCTACAACTACATTGAGGGGGGAGCGGGCAGGGTTAGACCGCTGGCCCTGCTCGTGGGGGCTCATGTCTCCTCGCGATTCCCCCTGGGTGCAGGGACTGACCAGTATAATTGAGCATGGCAGTGCACTGTAGCTAAACCCCAAACGCTTCATCGCCCTGTGCTTCTTGCAACAGTTCTCCACTGCCTGCTTTTACGATTTACCTTTGTCGATACCACTACTATCTATTACTGCATGGCCTGTCTTTGCCTTGTGTTTGTTCTGCGTCTAGGATTTACTTCATGCTTCTCAAGGGCTTATGCTTCCTTTCCTTCATTATTTACATTGCTTGCTGTACAATTTATGTTCGATATCACCGTGTATGCCTTATCACTCTACTTGCAGCCTCAGATATGCGTTCCCGTGAAAGGAACATTTATTACAGACAGTGCTGGTAACGCCCGTACAAGGCGTTAGACGAAGCACGCACCTGCACTGCGAGGTGCTACGGAGGATCAGGGAGACCTGGTCCCAATAGTCCTGCTGTCCGTATGACAGGACGTCTTACTCGCTTCACCGAACTTCTCATTCGACGGCCCGCTCGAGTGGTGGTTCCACCCATATCCTTTAATGTGGCCCCTTGCGAGGCGGCAGCCTCGTACCACACTGGCGACAGAGGAGGCGGTCGCAAGTATATTCGCAGGCGCTACGCACGCCTACGAGCCCGCGAGCCGTAATAATACCATCCGCTAATTGGGACCTGGTCGTTCCCTGCTCTTCCGGCGCACCTCGCTCACCGGCAACCCTTCCCTGCCTATGTGCGGGGAGTCTTCGATGACATGTTGTCCTCCGATGATGTCGAGGACTTCGTCCTGAATAAGCACTATATGCTCCTCCCTGACATGGAATTGGAAGAGGAGAGCATTAATAACTGTATCCTTCCTGTGTATCCTTACTCGGCTTATTTCTTTTATTTACTATTTCTGGCTTTATAAATTGTTGCCTGCTTTCGCTTGGCTTTGCACGGATTGGCTTCGGCACCCTGCATACTGGTCCCTGCACCTAACGGGCACCCCCCTCCCATTCAAAGGGGGCTTGGCGTTGCGCTTTTGGCCGATGCTATAAGTCGGGGGGGATGTTCCATTTCTCTCTTCAGTGGTGGTTGTCCTGGGTACCCTGCCGGGGGCAAAAAATTCCGGATTAGGCGATAGCCTTGCCCAGTTGGATGGCCTTAATCTAATCTAATCTAATCTACCCCTACAACTACATTGATTCTAACTATAAAGAACATTTTGTGTAAGGAAAACACTGCAGACTCTGAATTGGTACATTACAATTATTCTGCATATAATTTTGGTTCATTGTTAAAATATTTTATAAAGTGCCATGTAGAAATGTGCTTCCTCTCTTGTGCTTTATTGCACCGCAATTTAAGAATGAACCACTAAATGTTTAGTGTAGTAAAATATATATCTATGTTTTAATGTGTAATTTATAGTATCAGTGTTCTAGAGGAAAGGTTGTGCAGTTTTGCTGCTATACTGTATTTCCAGAGCCCATTTATGATTGTTGATACCTGATGTTTTATTTTACTAATGATCAGATCAGATTCTCAAACTGGTTTCGAAGAACCAACTATCGCTTATGACATCCTTACTTTTCTTCCTAGAATTCCTAGAATCCTAACAATTTTTCTGGTAATTTTTATAGTATTGTTGGACGTTGAAAATACTATTAAGTTTAAAGCAGCCCATATTTTAGCTTTCCATAGTGTATTATAATGCTTTGTGGGAATATTTTAGTTCAGTCAAATTTGCTCTATTATACATCATTGCTAGCAACTTGAAAAATATTAACAGGGGAAGACAATATCATAGGGTGTGTCATCCCTGTCATCCAGGCAGATGTTTCTTGCAATGAGGACATATTTACCAATACATAAATTGCTCTGTGATTTTTAATCTCCCTGAAGTAATATTTCAATCTTATGCCTCCTTTTCCTTGTTTTCTTTCTCCTGCTATGTAGTCCATGCTCATGCTCCTAATTTTCCTCTACTTGATGGACTTGGTATGTTTCAAAAAGTAATCCCTTTTCTTTCCCATTTTTGTTATTTTGCTTTGTGTGAAGCAAATTGTATCTGTTTGTAGACTTTTCCAAACATTAAAATTTAAAGCTTGCCTTTTGATATGATCATGGTTGCCACAATTCTGGAAAACCTTGAAAACCTGGAAAAATCATGGAATTTGAAAAAGGTCAGGGAAAACAGGGAAAAGTCAGGGAAAATGATAAGAAGATCTGGAAAAACGGTCACATTGAACAATTGTTGAAAAATACTTTTCAATGCTCAAAAAACCATGATTTTGATCACCAACTTTTGCTTTAAATGCGACACAAAAAGTCAGGGAAAAACGCCTAACTTTGGTCTGGAAAATCAGGGAAAATTGCTAAGGAAAAATTGTGGCAACCATGATGATATTCATATTCTATCTTGAATGGATTGACTCTCTAGCACTGGTATTCTAACATATTTCGTCTGTTATTTCTCTTCTCTTCTGTCCTCTTTTTACTTCACCCTCTACTCTCAAGGTGTCTTCATGTAACTTTGAGAATTATTCGGCATGGATTATCTTGCCAGGTTCTGCTTATAGTCAGTGGTGTAAATGCATTTAGTATTTGGTATGTTTTGCTTGTTGAAACTGTATCCATTGAACTGGATGTAGCCCATTGAAATAGGTTTATATGACATGACATTTGTCAACTTATTTCTAGTTTACATCTCAGGTCTCATAGATGTTCAATTTCCATATTGTAAATCTTTAGTATGCTTCTTTTCGTTCTCTTATTGTTTGTCAACTGTTTATCTGTGCATGTGTCCTCTGTGATTGTTGCCATGCTTTTTTTTTAAATGGATGGAATTTGATGATCTGTATTATTTAACCAAGTTTCAATCATTCTTCCAAACCACATTTTTGTATCTCAATTTATGTGTGTTTGAAGAAGTGAAACAAAGTTGATAAGAAGACACTCAAATCCTAACATGTTTTGGCATAATATCTAATCATGTATATCTGTTTTTCTTCCCATTATAGAATTAATACCTCAGCCAGCACGTTCGTGTGAAGATCCTCCCCTATACCTCAGGTTGCGTATGGGTAAACCAGTTAATAGGAAAATTCCCAAGTCTACACCAATAATGTCTTATGGGAAGAAAAAAATGAGGCCTGAGTATTGGTTTGGAATTCCTCGTAACAGGTGAGGTATTTTTACATAACCAAGATTCCAATGCACCTTCATTATTTCTATCGTTTTAAAAACGTTGAAAGTGGTTTCCACATCAAAGTCTCCTGTTTAAAATTCCAGAGTGGATGATTTGTATAAGTTTCTGCACTTATAGATCCCTCACCTGTATGGTGACCTTGAAGATATGGACTACAAGGCACGAGGCTATGAATTAGTTGAATCTGATACTGAGCTGTGGGATGAAAGGAAAAGCATATTTGTAAATGGCACTCTGAAGAGGACAACAAATTTTTTAGACAGTGGCAGAGTTCTTACTGTGCATGACTGTGAAAAAGACAGGATTATTATATAAAGGCACAGGTTCCAGCTTCTTTGAGGAGACAGACTTATGCTGTGTTCATCATGGTTTTTAAAAAAACAAGGTGAAATATGCTTTGCAGAATGCTGTTGCAAGGCTCGAGCACTCGCAAGTTGCTTTCATTTATTTGCTGTTTTGCTTCTGATATCATGACACATCGAGCTCCATGGAAATAATGTAACCTTTAACTAAATCCTAGCAGTATGCAGAGCAAATTTTGTGGAGCTTCATATCAAGTGGAACAAAGTGCAAAACTTGATTGGCAACACAGTTTCACATCTCGAGAGATTATTACCACCACTTTTTTGGTCACGATAATGTGCCTCTCTGCAGCAGTATCATAGGTTTTCATACACCTTTTTGAGGATTCTTACATACAAATGTAGCTGCCCTTGTTAAATATCTGTGCATAGGGTAAGTTTTGATTTGATCCTGGTCCCAATTCCTGCTTTCTTTGCTCACGTGCACTTTAATCTAATTTACTTAAACTGACCTTAATTATAAATTCTAATTACACTTTTCTGTTGCATGAAATACTGGTATAAATATAGTGGACATTTTTCAAACTAGTCAGTAATATTTAACAAAATCCCTGCATTGATTCAAGTAGCAGGAAATGTTACAATTTAACTAAACTTAGCTCAAAATTGGTAGTGAAATGTTAGGGTCATTCAACATTAGGTTGGAGATATCCTTAGCCTTGAGGTACTCCCACTTCTGTTTTTAAGAGACTACCCGCTATTCTATTTATCTTTACAAATTGGTACCTTTTCAAAGGATAGGATTCCGGCCAATTATGCGCTGGTTCTCTAATGCCAGCTAATTCCAGTTTTTCCACCAGGAGTAAGTGATTGATGGTGTCAAAGGCTTTTCTTAAATTGATCGATCTGTTGATTGATATCCATTGTTGATGTTGTCTTGTATACTTTTTATTGTGTCCATAGCAACAAAATTTAAAGTTGATCAGAAAGGAAAGAAAGTCTGTTTTTCATTGTTTTTCCTAAAATTTTGGTATTTAAAATGCTGATGGGGCGGTAGTTAGCTGGTAATGTTTTATCTCCTGTTTTACATATAGGCGTCACTCTGGCAATTTTACAGATGGTTGATTTATCGTAAATAGATGATAACAAGTTTG